CACCCCCATCCATTAGGAAATCAAGAAATACAGTACCCATTATAAAGTCATGCAAAACATATTTCCCCATTAGCCATGTTCCAAAAAAAGTAAGAAAAATAAAGAAAAGAAAAAAAAATATGCTTCAATCTATACTCTAATTCCATCAGTTCTCTTTCTGGAGGTGCATAACATTAAATACTTTTTTGTAATCAGCATATCTTTCAGTCAACTGTGCAGCCCCAAAGATGTGGTCAGATGCAGAGAATCATTAGTAAAATCTATTTTTTTCTTCCTCATATTTTCATTTTTAAGATATTTAGCACTCTCAGATAGATTTTATAAATATGCGAAGTAGGCATGTGGTCTGTATTTAAATGTTATTCTCTGTTTTGAGCATTAATACTACCTGGGTTTTTCCTGTTGTTTTGGTAGTTTTCCCTCCTTGAAATATTTTGAAAAATAATCCCTCAGGGCTTTCAAGATTTGAGCATGAAATGATCACCTCTTCAAAATCACCAGCAGGAAGTCATCCAGGCTTTGATTGAAGCCCCATAATGAGGGGAACCCACTTCTTAAGACAGCACTTCCTACTTTTGAATATCTCAAATTAATGGAAATAATTCTTAACTTCTTTCATTTCATGAGTCCCTTTGGCAGTCTGGTGAAACCTATGGATACCTTGTCAGAATAATGTTCTTAAATGCGTGAAATAAAATACATAGGATTATAAAGGAAACCAACTACACTAAAATACAGTTTTAAAAATATTAACAAAGCAAAAGACTTCCTTGGTGTCTGTTTGATCTGGTTTGGCTGCGTTCCCCCCAAATGTAAAGTCGCTCTATATAAGGAAATATTGCAAATAAAATAGAAACATGATTTAGAGATCAGGAAACATTGGCTATAAAAAAGCATTTAGAAGTTTGAATGATAGAAAAGGATTTGGAAAAAACAAAGTTAGACGATGACTTGAGCTAAACTCCACTGTGTCTGAAGGATTCGTGACAGTATGCTTCATTTCTGAACTGGAGCAGTCTGATGACATGAGATGCAGTCTACTGAGTAGGATACACCAGAAACGTAGCCCACACTTATCTCTAGATCTGTTGCTTTTGTATGGATTTCCTATCATCTGCCACCTGAGTATGGATTGTAGCACCAGCATTTCCTGTTTAGCAAATTGTGTTCCACAATATCTTAGCTCAGCTTTCCAGTCATAGCAGTTCAGAAATACCCCAGGGTTTTTTCTTTCCATGGCATTTCTCTAGAATGGCTTCCATCTCTTTTCCAAGGAGGGGTCTTCCTTTCCCAGCTTTGGGTCTTTTGAGACAATCGTTGTATCCTAAGATCCCATAGAATTCTGACATCCTGGGGCTTTCTTCCAATGAAGAAGCAACCTCTCACCTCACTATATTGGCTACTTGAAGTCTTGCTGGGAAGATCCCATTAAGGACTGACTTGTGTCTATTAGTGAACATAGGTCACACTTATACAGTTATCCATTCCACATCATGGTGGGGGTAGGGCTGTGGAACCCCCGAGATATAGAAAATTCATAAAAAAATTTTTGGCCCTCTCTTCATACCAGAGAAGAAGTCTGAATTATTATGGTATTAAAAGATAAAATATATTGATATTATATAATACTATACACATATTTTATGCATTTCTGAGTTTCTAAACTTTTTCTGTGTCATATGCTGGCCATCACATGTCATCTGCAGCTTCCACAAAATTCCCCCAAAATTCCCATTTAATTTCTTATGCTAACCTGCGATATATCAAAACTGTAATAGGGAAAAGTCACAATGTGGAAATGATAACTATATGTTCTTGAATTTTAACTTATGGACATTACATAGCACATTGACCTGCATTTTCAGTGTGCAGATATATAGATGTTCTTGGTTATTTCTGGTTTTGGCCATCCTGTATGCATTTTTTTTTCTCTTTCTCTGTTCTTGCCTCTCACTCATAAGTTCATTATTTATAATTCTCTTACATGTTAATTAATTCAGAAGATTTTATAGTGTATCATTCCCCCTGTAGCCCTGCCCCCAATACAAATTATCTTGTGCATATACTGAAATGGTCTTGCTGAGCTTAAATCCTGGGGCTGGCAATTCAAACTCTGTGACTTAACTCCAACTTTATTGCCATTGGAATTCACTTCTGAGATTAGAAATCTCCCAGGATGGCTGGAAGGGTCCTGATGTAGGAGTGTTTAATTTATTAAGAACACTGATAGAACCATAAAATATCATGGCTGGAAAGGACCTTTGAGATCATCCAGTTCAGCTCTCTCATTTTACAGACTAGGAAACTAAGACCCCTCGAAATCAAATGACTTGCTAAAAACAAAACAAAACAAAAAAAAAGATAGTTACCAGTCTTTTCTGAGCATTCCAGTTCAATGAGTTCTTACTGTCATGGCAGGCCAGTCATTTCATCCAAAGACAGTGTGGTGTGATTGAGAGCATTCTACAGTAGTAATCAAAATAACTTTATTCTTGTCCTTCTTCTCAGCTCCTTGTCAGCTGTGTGACCTTCGGTGAGTTGCTTAACCTCTCTTAGCCTCAGGTTCCTCATCTGAAAAATAGTAATACTTGTCTTGCATAACAAATGTATTTGCTGTATTTGAAAACCTCATACAGATGCAAGACATTGTGAAGAAAGCACCTTAGAAACCTTAAAGTACTACTGGGATGTAAGCAGAATTCAAGAAATGATTTATTTTTGCCTTTTTTTTTTTAACATCAAGTTAATTTCTCAATACAGGTTGTCCTAAAAATCTTGGGTCGGTTTTAAACCCTTCTGCTCTACCCTTCCTAGGTGGCGCAGTGGATAGAGTGCTGGACCTGAAGTCAGGAAGACTTAATTTCCTGAATTCAAATCCAGCCTCAAACACTAGCTGTGTGACCCTAGGCAAGTCATTTAACCCTCAGTTTCATCATCTGTAAAATGAGCTGGAGAAGGAAATAGCAAATCACTCCAGTATCTCTGCCAAGAAAACCCCAAGTGGCATCACAAAGTGTCAGACAAGACTGGAACAATTGAACAACCAAAAACCAAGCATTCTGCATTACTATGGGTTTTTCCTGCTAAAGAAAAAAATGTGCCCCACGCCTCTGCTCCCAACTCTGCAGAATGAATGGAATCCAGAGCCATACTGATACCCTCCCTTACCCTGAACAGCACATCATCCCCCCCCACTGTGATATATATCTTTATTTGTGTGTGAAATTAGGCTCCCTTGCTAAACTCTTGTAATAGCCTAAGTGCAATAATTACTTTCTTTTTCTTTTTCAAAAAACAGAAAATGCCCTAAGAACAACAGAGGACGTCGGCAGAAGCAAAACCTAGGCCATTTTACATCGGACACATCTTCCAGAATGGTTTAACTCGATGACTTTTATATGTACACCAACCATGTGATAAACATTTTATTATGTCTTTTTTTAAAGAATAGAAATATTTATTTCAGAGGCCTTATTTTTGGACATTTTTAGTGGAACACTGTCGGCTTGTATTTAGAAAAGCATCAACTCTGACAATGACAGAGTTTCTGTTTTGTGTTTTTAAATACTGAATTTCATTTTCTGTATCTGTAACACATGGTTATATAAGACTTGTACTTTACCCATGGAATGTAATATTTTTGCAAACCCAGATCACTTCGCAAATGATTATAGAGTCTCATACACACACACACAGACACAGACACACACACACACACACACACACACAGCCACAAGAATCAAGCATGAACTAAAAGTAAAAGATGTTTACAGATTACTTTTCATACAAAAAAACCTTAGAAGACACTGTGTTTAAATAGATATTTAAATGTTTTTGAGATTTAGTACATGATTTTTTTAGACACTGCTTACCGCATGAATTGTGAAGCTGTATATGTGTGTAGCTGTAAAATATTTATAAAATGTTTGGAACGTAAATTGAGCACTACTTTCCCTGAGAAACACTTCTAACATTTGGAAAAGGATCTTATGGTGCTGATGTAACAGATCCATAAAAAGTGGGCCTTGGTAGATTTAATTATTGTGATCATTGCCTTTAAAAGACAACAGATTGGAATCAAGCCTACTTTTTCATTAAGACCATTTTAATACTCAGACACTTTTTTAAAGAAAATATTTGTTTTAACACAAAAAGAAATTGATTGTATTAGTGTTTGTGATTAAAATGCAAAAAAAAAGATCATTAACAAGCAGTGTTCTTGAAGAGAATATGCCAAGAGCTTAAAAAAAAACCCCTTTCTCCAAATTAGACTTCTGGTTATAGTTATATTAATAGATTGTTGATGTTTGGAAGATCTGAAATGCGAGTAGGATATATTCCACTGTTTAACGTGTAGTTTAGACTTTCAGAAGTATGCATGTAGAATTTAATAATTTGTTGAAAATAAACAATTGATTTTAATATTTGTTTTGGAAAGCATGTTAAAATACAATGTTTTCACTATATATTGCCTCTGTTTTAGTGTGTCTGTTATGTGCTTTAAAATTGTTTAGTTTGTAGGCTTTAAAAGCATCAGAAGTTTCAGGTTATAAATTTTAAAAAAATTGCCTGAAATCATCCAAAGGAAAAAAAGTCAATGAAATGGGAGTAATAATACTGCCATGAAAAATGTCCAGGTTGCTTTTTTTTTCTCATGTGATAAATGAAGGTCCTGGAGTTCTAGTGGCCCTCTTTTATGTTTTCCTCTTCCATCACTGTCGTCTCTGAGTCACTTGGTCTGTCAACAGACAATTTTAGAATACCCACTGCATGTAGGTTCGGTGCCAGACTCGTTGAAGGGTTTCATATTGCAGAACAATTGCATATGGATATTTCTAGTTATAAATACTTGACCAACCTCCAGGGGTGGAGTTTCCTACCCTTTAAACCTCTTTGTGGCCAGTTGTCAAGCTAACTTTTTTGCTTTAAGTGCCAGAATTAATTGTAGGGATAGTTACATTTCAGTCACTGTATAGATAAGCCTGAAGAAAAAAAAAAAAAGAAGCAAAATGGATCACAACAAATCAACTACCAATGCTGACAAAATCCATCAGAATCGACTGTCGAGCGTTTCAATAGATGAAGACCAAGATGCAGCGTTAACAATTGTGACCGTCCTGGACAAAGTGGCTACCGTAATAGACAGCGTCCAAGAAAGTCAGAAGAGAATAGAAGAGAGACATCGAACGATGGAAAATACGATCAAATCCGTCCAGATTGACATGTTGAAGCTTTCCCAGGCACACAGCAACACAGGCTATATAGTGAACAAGCTGTTTGAGAAAACCCGGAAAGTCAGTGCTCACGTAAAAGAAATAAAAGCACGCGTGGAGAAGCATAGCCTAAATGTGAAGAAGGTGGAGACCAAACAAGAGGAGGTGTTAAGAAAAAACAAATTTCGAGTGGTCATATTCCAGGTAAGCTTGTGCTCAGATTTATTTTTGTTACCCATAGTTTCTTCCAGGCTTTCGTTATCCTACAAATAATTTCAAAGGGAAATGGTCACTCTTTGTATTATAAAGCTTAATAACAACATGGGATAGAGGAGGCAGCTCGGGATAGGGAAGAGAGTGTTATATACTTGGAATAAGAGAACCAAGACTCAAAGTCTGGCCCTGCTGCTTGCTACTTACCAAATGACCTTGGGTAAATTACTTAAGGGACGTCAGTTTCTCTTCTATAAAATGACGGGAAAAATAAATGACCTCTAAGGTCCTTTTTAGCTCTAAAATCTATGACACTGTAAAATGGACCCTGGTTTCAGTACAAAATCCTCCTGACGGGAACCAACATGCTATTATTAGTACCCCAGGCTTCTCAACCGTTAAGTGTAAAATGAACTGTGGATCAAGTCAAAGCTATTTCTTGCCTGTGAAATGCAATATGAGGCAGGTTTTCTCAGTCCATTAGCCACACATGACAATCATCTCTGCTGCTTTTTGCTTTTTACCTCATTAGGGATAGGCCAAAATAATAAAAATTCTATTTATATAACCTTCAGATATAGAATTTCTACTAATGTTGAAAAAATACAGGCCATAGCAGGAAGAGGAGACATCAGTATTGCTGGGTTGGGAAATTGAAAAGAAGCAGAGGTATAGTTGATACAGTGCTGTATTTTAAGTCAAGAGGTAATAGGTTGAATCCTGACTCAGACAAGTCATTTAACCTCTCTCAGCCTGTTTCCTCATGTGTAAAAGAATGGGTTTAGACCTGATTATCTGTAAGGTCCCTTTTGACTCTGAATATATGATCCTATGACTCTGTCCCACTGTCTGAGCTACATTCTGTATGGAGGCAAGTGGGAGGCAGAATTATATAATAGATAGAAAACTGGCCTTGAAGTCAGGAAAACCTGAATGCAAATCCTGCTTCAGAAACATACTAGCTCTCTGACCATGGGCAAATCAGTTCACCTCTTAGCTCTTGTAGGCAACTATCTAAAATTCTATTACAGAATTGCTGATCTGCATCAGTGTAGGAAGTTTCCATACGGGGAAGTTTCCCACAGAGAAGAAGCTAGAGGTCTGGATCTCCCTCCCCACCATCCCAGCAAATAAGAGAAGTATTTGAACTACTTTGTGCTTCACATTCTTGATCTTTAAAATGGGCAGCAGAGTTGGACTGTGTAGATACATAAATTGTTGGACATCTGCCAAGTGGTCTAGGTGGCTATACTAGAGGTAGGACGGTATGGACCACAAGCAAAGACACCAGACCCAACAACTAACTCCCAGAACTGTATTTTTAAATAGCAACCTTTGGCAGGACTTTCTGATAATGATGCAACCACTGATGGGCAGCATGCCATCAGCACCAGTACTGTGTTTATAAACCCTGAATGAAGCGGGGATGGGGCATCAAAGCTCCTGCTGAGGCTGGTTTTTCTTGTAGGCGCCTGTCTTTGACTCTCCTCTGAATTGATCAATCATTGCTGTCAAGTAGGGAGCTAGATAATTGCAATAAGTATCTCATGGGTATCCCTGCTTCAAGGTGCTCCCTGCTCCAATCTATCTTTCACTTTGTTGTCAAAGTGATTTTTCTAGAGGCTACCTCTGGCCATGTCACACACACCCCTGCTCATTAAACTCCAGTAGCTCCTTATTACTTCTAGGACCAAATATAAAGTCCTCTCCTCAGTACTGAAAGCTTGTCACAACCTTACCTCTTTTTGCCTTTCCAGTCTTCTTATATTTTATTTCCTTCCACATGCTCTACATTTCAACTGTACTGGCATTCAACTTGGCTTACATGCTGTTCCTTGCACGTAATGTTCCATCTCCCTGTCCACGCCTTTTCTCCGGACAGGATGAAGGGAGGAAAGCAGAAAGGAAGGAAGGAAGGAGGCAGGTTCAGAAGGAAGGAAAAGAAGGAAGGAAGGGAGGGAGGAAGGAAAGAAGAG